CTCACTGCAACCTCTGCCTCCCAGACTCAAGCAATTCTCCTGCCTCAGTCTCCCAGGTAGCTGGGATTACAGGCGGTCACTATAACACCCAGCTAAATATCATATATATATATATATATATATTTTTATATATATTTTTGGTAGAGACGAGGTTTCACCATGTTGGCCAGGCTGGTCTCGAACTCCTGATCTCAGGTGATCCACCCACCTTGGCCTCCCAAAGTGCTGGGATTACAGGCATGAGCCACTGCACTGGCCAAAATTTCTTTTAGATCTTTTGCCTTATTAATTTTTTCACCCTGAGATAGCAGATGTATTCTTACTTTCACATTTGGACTTTGGATATGGACTAGGGTACCCACTCGACACCTCAAAGACAGAGTTCCAAGGGAGACTCCAAGCCTAATTTTTATCTTGACTAAACAGCGGCTTATAACACAGAGGCTTATTCTTCACTGAACTAGGCTCAATGTGTATGTTCCTTGGTGGTATTTTTAAATTTTACACATACGGCTGGGCACGGTGGCTCAGGCCTGTAATCCCAGCACTTTGGGAGGCTGAGTGGGGGTGGATCATGAGGTCAGTAGATCAAAACCATCCTGGCCAGCATGGTGTAACCCCGTCTCTACAAAAAATACAAAAATTAGCCAGGTATGGTGGTGGGCGCCTGAAGTCCCAGCTACTTGGGAGGCTGAGGCAAGATAATTGTTTGAACCCAAGAGGTGGAGCCTGCAGTAAGCCGAGATCATGCCACTGCTCTCCAGGAGCCTGAGTGACAAAGGGAAACTGTCTCAAAAAAAAAAAAAAAAAAAAATCTACACATACCTAGAAATAATATGAGATAATAAAAATGTTAAAAATTTAGAGTGTACAAACAGCAAAGTGAAAATTTCAGGTGGTGAATAACCAGCCCTCTGCTTGGTCATCCAGGGCCCCAGACGCCCCCATTTTTGGGGCTCTGCTTCCCCTCTGGGTCTTCGGCACAGAGAAAAGGAAAGACCACGGAAGACCAGGGAGGTTTTATGGACCAGGCCTGAAAAAGAGATCCCATTCCTCCTGCCAGACTGGGAAGAATGGGGTAGTAGACAAAATAAGGTCTCCCAAAAATGTCCATGTCTTCATCCCCATACGAACTTGGGAGCATGTTGCCTTAAGTACCAAAGGGACCTTTGCAGGAATGATTAAGGTGGAGTCTTAATATGAGATGATACTTGGTTATACAGGTGGAGAAAGAGAGCCAAAAAAAACCACAAAAACAAAACAAACAAAAACAAGAAGATGTGAAGATAGAAACAGGTTGGAGTGACTGTCCTTGAAAACAGAAGAAGGAGCTACACTCCAGGAATGCAAGCGGTCTCCTGAAACTGGAAACAACAAAGAAAGGGATTCTCCCCTGCAGTCCCCATGAGAAAGCAGCTCTGCCAGCACTTTCAGACTTCTGACCTCCAAGAGCTGGAAGAAAACAAATGTATGTTGTTTCAAGCCACTACGTTAGTGGTAGTTACAGCAGCCACAGGACAAGTGGTCCAGCCACATGCCAAGGAAGAAAAGGCAGCAGAATTTGGTAACCAACGGCACCCTTTTTCTTCACAGGTGAATCCATCCCATCCTCTCTGCTACAACCAGCTCTGTCACTTTCATGCTGGGATGTTACTACCATTCTACCATATTACTACCTGTGGCCTTTTACCTGGCCTGGCTTTGGCGGCCCTCACACTGGTGTCTTCACCAGTCTGCACTAGAGTGGTTCTCCTAAATTATATGTCAGATCACATCATTCCTTTGCTTAAAAGCCCCTTGTGGCTCTTACAGAAGAAAATCCACAATTCTCAGCCTGGCCTTCCAAGTCCTCTGTAATGTGGCTTCTGTCTGTCTTGTCATCCTTACCCCTCAACCAACATTGCTCCGGTGAGGATGAAATGCTAGGGTGCTGAGTGGAGTAGATGCCACCAGACAGGGGTCAAAGGGGCTTGGGAGGGTGCTAGCAGTCCTGGGCTTCTCTCCTTCCTCCCACTCAGCTTCACCTCAGGCACCACCTCCAGTCAAGAGAGAGAAAGCCAAGGAAAGGATTCCAGATGTGAGGAAGGGTTGGAGAAAAGATGACTTATATACCAATAAACACAATCCAAAGGAGCTTGTTCAAAGTCTAAATCATTAAAAGTACAAGCCCAAACAAATTGTTATTGATTCCCTTGGTTACCAAATTCCTCAGCATGCCAGGCTGGAAAGTCATACACAGCAAGCTGCATTCATTGATGTTCTTGGTGTGAAAATGAATCCACAGTACTCCCAGTGAGGAAATGGCCTGGGATGCCCAAGAGGGAGACTAAAGAACTTTCAGAGATTCCAAACCCTGCTGGTGGCTGATGAGTTGATGAGCATAATAAAGACACACGCTCAAGGAAAACTTCAGGGGAGGCAGAGTGGTGTCCAATGCCATGCCCACCGGCCTTTCTGAGCCCAGCGCTTCCTCCTCCAGTCCCATTACTCCCCAGGTAATGCCCCAAACTTTGGCTGTGACTTATGCTCCATGCCCTCTCCTTTTCTAAGTTCTGTTCTTTCTAAATGACAAAGGACTGCAAGTCAGTTAATGATGTAATATTACAGAATTATAGACTCTTAGGTTTTAAGTAATTTTTGGAAAAATTGTGGAAAAGAACAGAGTGTAGGGAAAAATCAACTGTAAAGTCTACTAACCTACTACTATCATTTTTCTATACTCCACCTTAAACATTTTTCCATATGCATATTTTAACATAATATCATAAATACAGTTTTGCAACCAGCTGCATAGTCCTCCCAGGCATCATTTAATAGCCTCATAATATTCCTTCCAGTACATTCTTAGCAATCTTACAAAGTGCTCCCCATTTTTGGATGTTAGAGCTATGTCTACTGTTTTACAATTTTCAAATAAGCTCTGATGCATGCCTTTTTCTGTATTTTAAAAATTGTTTCCTGCCAGGTATGGTGGCTCACGCCTATAATCCTAGAACTTTGGGAGGCTGAGGCGGGAGGATTGCTTGAGCCCAGTAGTTTGGGACCAGCCTGAGCAACATAGGGAGACCTTATCTCTACAAACAAACAAAACAACTGCAAAATTTAGTCGGGTGTGGTGGTACATGCCTGTGGTCACAGCTACTCAGGAGGCTGAGGTGGGAGAGTCATTTTAGCCAGGGGAGGTCGAGACTGCAGTGAGCTGTGTGTGCCACCAAACTCCAGCCTAGGCAAGAGTAAGACCTGTCTCGAAAAAAAAAAATATTATTTCCTTAGACCAGATTTCTAAAAGTAGGATTTCTGGGTCAAAGCGTATGAAAAGATTTAAAGCATGATACATTTAGTCAAATTGCATTGAAAACGCTATACTAATTTAAAGTGCAGTGCACAGAGAAAAAGAGTATGTCATTGAAGTATTTTTTCATTTCATATTAGTGTTTAACAATCATTTTAAATATATGTTCGGCGCTTTAATTAGCAAGAGGAAAAAACAAAACAAACAGCTATGTGGGGGTTGGAATGAACTTCAGATGCCTGGCAGTTCCCAAATGTGGCTGCACATCAGAATTACCTGAAGAGTCTTTTAATAATATGAGTTCCACTAAAGCTTCTTGGAGAAATGGTTGTTTTAGGTCTGGAGTAAAAAATGTACAAGATGTGCCTGAAGAATTTGTCATTTCAGAAAACAAGCTATGAAAGAGTAATGTCATGTGTCAAAGGGACTTCAAGAGCCAACCTGAAGAGGCTCTCATTGGCCAAAGAGAAGAATTCTAAGGATAAGAATTGTGGCGGATTAAAGCACATCAAATACATTAAAATCCATGAGGTGACAATAATACTAGAAATAATAATAAAACTTTAGTGGTCACTTTAGAGAACAGTATTAATATCCCAGCATGAAAATGACATTGAAAACTGGAAAATAAAGGAGAAAAATCAAGCATTGAGGCTGCCTTTCTTACATGAACTGTACTGTGGAGTAAGTCAATAGTAGGTGAGGAAGTTTCTCTGTACTATCATCAAGTAATAGGGAAAAAGAAATGATAAATTTAGGAATCACCAGTTGTGAACCTAATGAATTGGGGAGCTCAGGCAATGATGATCCGTGGCTATAAATGTCACAGAGACATAAGCAGACATTATGTGGCCCTGAAGAAGTACGTATCATCTATGAAGTAGTCGCCAAAATTTTTGAACCTAAATCTGACCAAACTTCTAATCAAATTACTGATCTACATAAAATAAACCTGGGGAGGGGGGCAGTAGGTATGGTTTTCAGCAAAATCCAGACTCTGGAAAAGTCTTGTTGACAAACCACCCAGTCTCTGTAACAAGTTTAAAGGGTGAAAAAAAATGAAACTGAGGGACACCAATAGGTTAAAAGTCACTTAAGAGATATATTAACCAATCATAATGCATGGGATTTATTTGAAAGACTTCAAACAAACTGGAAAAAACAAAACAAAACAAAACAAAACAAAAAAAACCCTGTAAGACAACTGTGGATTTGAGAACAAACACTGATAGGATTTTGATAATATTAAGTACCCACTGTTAATTTTTCTGGTGCTTAATGGTATCACGGATACTTTTAAGTCTATGTCTTGTAGAGAAACATACAAAAATATATACAATTAAAATAAG